TGCTAGTGGCTCGATTGCTAGCCCTATGACCCGGAATTACAACCGGTTCCTGTGTCATAAATTATAATTGTGCTGGACTGGTACTGCTGTCAGAGTCGGACTTGCGACCCATATAAGACCGCTCAACAAATAATTCGAGTGGTTGCTTTGCTGCTATCTTTTCTACAAATCCATTACCCCAAGAGTTGATCCAACTTGATTGCAGGCATCCATGCATTCTACTGCGCGTCTGGCTCATCCTCTTCCAGCTACCCGGCTGCAAATTTTGGCTCGAGGCTCCAGTGCAACCCCATTAGTAGCACCCAGGCGATATGCTTCAAATGTTGTATCTGAGGTGCGCCAGCCTATGTTTTGTAACTTCTGTTTACAAATGTAAAGAGATGTAGCTTCCCACATCCCCCAGCACACGCTACTTGAAGTCTATATATGACTTTTCTGTAAATACACAATCTGCTGCGACCAAGAACACTATAGCGCTCGGGGATGAATACCTCCTTCCTGTCTACGCACGTCCTCCGTTCGTACTCTCGCATGGACGTGGTAGCTGGGTCTGGGATGCAGATGGCCGAAAATTTCTTGATTTCAGCGCAGGCATCGCAGTGAACGCATTGGGACATGCGGACCCAGGTGTCTCAGAGGTGAGTAATTTCTACATTTCAAACTTTCTTTTTCATTATGGATCAGAGCGTACATTGTAATGGGAACTTACACTATAACATCATAGGTGCTTCAGCAGCAGTCGTCAACCCTTCTCCATACCTCAAATGTATACTACAACGAATGGGCGCCAAAGCTAGCGGAGCTTCTGGTGACGCTCACTAACAAAGAAGGTGGACTAGGCTACGCTGCTGGCGGCACCTCTCCATCTTCTTCAGCCGCTAAGCAAGGGGCCAAGGTTTTCTTCTCCAACTCAGGCACCGAAGCGAATGAAGGTGCTCTGAAGATAGCTCGTAAAGTTGGAAAGGACCGCTGGGCTACTGCCACTGGTGGAAAAGTTGACGACCCATCGTGTCCTAAAATGGGTATCGTGTGCTTTGAAAACTCTTTCCATGGTCGAAGTATGGGTGCTCTGAGTGTCACTTCAACGGAGAAATACCAGATGCCCTTTCGACCGCTGATACCTGGGGTCAGCGTTGGCAAGCTCAATGATCTGGAATGCCTGCATAGGCTCGTCACTGATGATACCTGTGCGGTTATTGTCGAGCCTATACAGGGAGAGGGAGGCGCCACTGCCGCAACAGAAGAATGGTTGAGAGCTCTGCGAAAACGCTGTGACGAGACAGGAGCAGTGTTGATCTTTGATGAGATTCAAGTTTGTTTTTACTTGGTAACATCGTCGCACACTGCCTTCTGATAAGATTGCATTGCAGTGCGGCCTGTACAGGTCAGGGAATCTTTGGGCACATTCGGCGTTACCGATTGATTGCCATCCTGATGTCATCACGATGGCGAAACCGCTAGCCAACGGTTATCCAATTGGTGCCGTATTACTTCGTGATACGATAGCATCTACAATGACAGCAGGTAAGAATGACAAGTCATGAGAGTTGCCCACAGGAACTGACAGGCACTGGCAGGCACTCATGGGACAACATTTGGAGGGTCACCCACGGCGTGTGCAGTTGGACATCACGTTCTGAACCGCCTAAGTGATCGTGTATTTGTCGCTCATATGAAGGAGATGAGCGGGTACATGAATGGCCGGCTCGAAGTTTTGCCGAAGTGGTTCTCAGCAATAATACAGCCTCACGTGCGCGGTCGTGGTTTCATTCGAGGCCTTGGATTCAATGATGTGTCACATCCTGGAGAAGTAGTGCAACTAGCACGGGAGCGTGGAGTGTTCCTGCTGACTGCTGGAAAAGATGCCGTACGTCTGGTGCCCTCTCTAAATGTGACTAAGGAAGAGGTGGATATAGCTATGGACGTGCTTGAAGGGTGCCTGTCATCTTTGCGGGGTTAAGTAGGCTCAAGTAGTTACTTAGGTTACATTGCGGTGAATACCTGAGACATGGTCAGAAAAGTTTTATGAACAGATGCGATACATTCTGAGACATATTTATCCCCGGCACCCACATCACTGAAAAGCTGTGTTGATTTTGTCCACGGTAACAGACTGACACGTGCACGCCACAGCTGACCGAGGAACGAATCGAGCGCCATTGGGGTATGCCAATTGGGGATACTGACGACAAGTGCATGGTTTGGACCACAAATTTAACTTGACCCATACTTATCTTGAGCAACATCGTACGAGGCAAAGCAAAATCAATTCAAAGCGGTGTGACGAGGGGACAAGCGCCGTAGTAAATATTTATCCTCCAATTTGAGCAGGCCGCCGACTCTAGATCATTTTTGATTGTCTCAGTGTGAGTGCAGTGTGCACTGGCAGAGAATGATTTCCACGTTGCAATATTATTCGGACCGCTCTCAGAAGGGGAACAGCCACGTGATTCTCATCAGCCAATGGGCGCTTTCCTAATTTCCGATATAACCTTTGCTCAAAGTTTCAAATCCCCGATATCCCATATTGTCCCGGTTTACGCTCACCACGGTCTGCTTGTAAGCCTACATATCTGTGCTAGTCTCCATCATCTGAGTCACTAATCGTTGGTGTTACTGTTTCAGATTTGACTATATATTCTTCGAGCTTTTTCAAGAGCTCCTCCCAGTACTTGAACATGGAAAAGTTTTCTTCGCTAGCTCGTTTCAAGAGTTCCTGCCCGTTTTTGGGTGGGACGAAGACTTCAACCCTTCGCGCCCTCGGCAGCGCCATTTCCCCTAGATTCCCCTCGATCTCTCAGCTCACTGAACGAGCTGCCAGTTGTCCCATCATGGGTCCGGCCCTAGTGATGCGATCTACCCAAATGGTCGCAGGTTACGCCAGTGTTGCTGGTCAGGCCGACGTCCAAAACATTCACCACAGCAAAGGTATCTTCCCGGGAACCAGTGTTTCCGAAGCGGATATTTCCAAATGTCCTCACGCTTCCGCTGCTCGGGCTGCTGCTCGCATGGCGGATGATCTTGCTGCCGCATCTACTACGAAGGCACCTGAAGCCAAAAAGGAAGTCCCAAGCACGGCCCAGAGGGCCGCTGCTGCCGGATGCCCTTTCCATAAGGCTGCTGCTGCAAAGGAACAACCCGTCAAATTGTCTGAAGTGACAGAAACCCAGACTACTCCTGCCACTCCAGATGCGTACAAATATGACAAGTTTTATGCGGCCGAGCTCGAGAAGAAGCACAAGGATCAGTCCTACCGCTACTTCAACAACATCAACCGGCTTGCAACCAAATTTCCAATTGCGCACACTGCGAGCGTCAAAGAAGAAGTCCAAGTTTGGTGCGCTAACGACTATTTGGGAATGGGAAATAATCCTGTCGTCCTTGAAACCATGCAGTACGTATAGCCTCTGTAGTCATATGATTTTGTCGTAAGCTAACGTTTTTTCTCATGCAGTCGGGCATTGGACAAATATGGTGCAGGCGCTGGAGGCACTAGAAACATAGCTGGAAATAGTGCTATGCATCTCGGTCTCGAACGTGAGCTTGCTACCCTTCATCGCAAGGAGTCCGCGCTCGTATTTTCGTCTTGCTATGTCGCCAATGATGCAACTTTATCTACCCTCGGTTCCAAACTTCCTGGTTGTGTTTACTTCTCAGACGCTTCCAACCACGCATCCATGATACAGGGCATTCGGCACTCCGGTGCGAAGAAGGAAATTTTTAAACACAACGATTTGGACGACCTCGAGGCCAAACTTAAGAAGTATCCGAAGGACACTCCTAAAATTATTGCATTTGAGAGTGTTTACTCGATGTGTGGTAGCATCGGGCCTATCAAGGAGATTTGTGATCTGGCTAAGAAGTACGGCGCCCTAACTTTCCTTGATGAAGTCCACGCTGTCGGACTTTACGGGCCCCGCGGTGCTGGCGTTGCTGAGCATCTCGATTGGGAATCCCACCAGATGGCCGGCCAAACTTTCGAGCCGATCAAGGATAGCGTGATGGATCGTATTGACATGATTACTGGTTAGTCATTATCATGCATATCTATCTGACCGGCTCGGCTTACGGTTGGCAGGTACACTGGGCAAGGCATATGGCACTGTTGGAGGATACGTCGCGGGGTCTCGCAATTTCATCGATATGATTCGTTCATACGCACCTGGTTTCATTTTCACTACCTCACTACCTCCCGCTACAGTCGCTGGTGCTCGAGCTTCCGTCATTTACCAGAAGCACCACGTTGGTGATCGAGCATTAAAACAGGTTAATGTTCGCACTGTCAAGGAACGTTTCGCTGCTCTAGACATACCTGTCGTCCCTGGTCCTTCTCATATCGTCCCAGTCTTGGTTGGTGATGCAGGTCTCGCAAAAGTAGCCAGCGACAAACTTCTTTGCGAACATGGCATCTACGTTCAGGCAATCAATTTCCCCACCGTTGCTGTTGGTGAAGAGCGCCTTCGGGTCACTGTCACTCCCCGCCACACCGCAGAGCAAATTGATGGCTTGATTACTGCAATGGACACAGTGTTCACGGAGCTCAAAATCAACCGGATCAGCGATTGGGCAAAGTTAGGTGGGCGTGCCAATGTTGGTATAGGCAAGGAAAGTGTCGAGCCCATCTGGAGTAACGCTCAGATCAACACGGCTGGACAACCACAGACGTTGCATGATGGGGACATGGCTTTGGTTGACGTTAATGTAGTTCAGGTGGTTCGGAAGAGCTTTGAGGACCTTTTGGGACCTATCGAGTTGAGCGAGACGGAGACGATTCAGATGAAGGTGGAAGCTGTGCTGATGACCGGAGCTGTTGAGCACATTGCTGGGGCTCTGCCGAAGAAAGTGAAAGCACCACGGATTCCTGTCAATCCAATTGACATGCCCGTCGCACCTACTGTCGCAGTTTCGGCTTAATCGTTGTTGACATAGTACTGTTAAGTATGATCCATATTCCAATGCCAATGCCGCGGCGGTCATCGCCATCATTCTTGCTAGCGTTGTGTGCCTGTCTGCTCAGGGTAACATGAAGCCCGCAATCCTTGGACTGATGGTTCAAATAGCTGCACCACGTAACGTGTGAGTTGATCTCACTGTACATCTGACAGAGCACCCAGTAAGCTACGAGCTCTCATCACTTTGGTTGTGACAGTGGACCCTCCATCCGAAAGATCAGTAGGTAATACAGCTGACTCTGAAGTCACAGGATCCGGTGTCTCTGAGGCCACTACAGAATTGCACATCTGTATGAGGTTCTAGAGAAGAGCATTATGAGACTCTTTGTCAACAAGATAACCAAAACATACGTCTCGAATTCCCCCCTTCACATCTGCGAGATATTTGGTCACTAGGGAAAAATACTTCTCGGGTATCTGTAGTGGAAAACTAAGATCAGCCAACCGGCAAACTCACAGGAGAAACTCATCACCATTTCTTCCGACCACAATCTTTTAATTAGCCATATCTGCTTGGCTTTATTGAACTTCCAGTTGGGTGGATCCTCAAATCGTGCATATGCATACGACAACGCTGTAAATCATTCTATGCTCAGTAAACACAAACGGAAATTTCGCGACATACCTTTCCGACTTTGATTGGACAGAGACTCATCTACACTAGGATCTGTGGAGGGAAAATCTGATGGACGATGGTCTTTCTTTCTTTTGAACGGTTTGCTATCAGGCGTTTCCTCCAAATGTTCCTCCGCCTTTCTCTTCTTCTTCTTCTGTTGTGGTTTATCTGAAGCAGCCTCTTCTGGTGTTTGGACCTTGGTGTCGTTCAAATGTGCGACCTGTTCATCAAGTGCGGCGCCCTCAGCATGTTTGCCTTCGTCTGAGTGCTTAAGTTTCTTTTTCTTCTTCTCCTTCTTACGCTCGTCACTTCTGTCTTTCAACTGCTCATGCGCCACGTCCCCTGAGTAACTCTTACTCTTCTTTTTCCGCTCCGTATCACTTGTAGTTAAGTTTGCTAATTGGTCGTTTTGGGATGCAACATTTCCTGCGGAGGGTGTACTTGAAGGAGATAAGGGATGACTCATGCTCTGAGAGTCTCGTGTCGTAGAAGTCGCTTGATCTTTTGGGGTGGCCATGAGCAACGCATCACTAGTAGCTTCTCTATGCTTCCTCTTCTTCGACTTTACGCGTTCTTGACCTGCATCCTTGACATGAGAATCCGCGGACCTGGATATTTTGTCTGATTTGGGCGATGCACGCCCTATGTCTGTTACAGACATGCTGCACAGGACAGGACACGAGGGCTAGTGATGGTATCGGTAAACCTAGACATAAACTCGAGAGCCGGATGGAGGTGATTTCACTCGCTCACGTGACAAGGTCGCCAGCTAAACGCCCCAGAAATGGTACATTTACTATTTACACTAGTACGACTACTACAAAGCAAACTCACATACTGATTTCATGGGTCTTACAATATCTTCCCTTTTCACGTCGTTGTCATCGCTGGTACGATGGAGCAAAGATCAAGATGTCCGTATACTCATGCTCGGCCTCGATTCGGCCGGCAAGGTATGTCCACTTGCAAATATGATGTTATTCGGGTTGAAATGGACCGGTATTTTCGTAGACGACAATCCTGTACCGACTACAGGTGAGCGGTGTTGAAAATATTCAGTGGAGGTCCAAATAAATTTGCAGATTGGAGAAGTGGTTTCTACGATTCCGAGTGAGTATGTCCTCATAGGCTTTGTGGAGTCTGGGGCTCACGAAGAACAACCCAGCAATCGGCTTTAATGTAGAGACCGTTCAGGTGCGTTTCGAAAAAAAACTGCATTCATCTGTATTGACAATACTATCCAGTATAAAAACATTAAGTTTCAAGTATGGGACCTCGGAGGACAGTCTAGCATACGGTGTGTACAACTTTTTCTCGTCAGCCATTCCTGACTGGTACTCGAAGGCCATATTGGCGGTGTTATTTCCCAAATACATCTGCCATCATATACGTCATCGATTCTTCGGATCATGCGCGGTTGACGACGTCACGGAGTGAACTATTGACCATGCTTTCGGAAGATGAACTCAACGGCGTGCCACTTCTTGTATTCTGCAATAAGCAAGACGTCGAAGGAGCACTGAAACCTGAAGGTATCAGTGAACAACTTGGTCTTGCAGGTCGCGAGACGTCGAGACCATGGAGTGTACGTGGAAGTTGTGCAACAGAGGGGACAGGTCTAGAGGAAGGATTAGACTGGTTAGTGATCCGCCGTGTCCCATTCTTACGATATTGACATGTCCGAATGACAGGTTGGTAAATGCAATACAGAAAAAATAGAACATGTAGCCGTCCTCGTGCACGTACATCTTCATAGTCTCTGCATATTTCTTCTGCTCGTCTTTGGACAATGGTATACCCATTGGTACAGCAAGCATAATTGTATTTGTCCCATAATTTGCGCTATAGATTTGGATTCCATCTTGCAAAGACCCTACCCCAGCGCACACTTCAAGGTTAAGGGTCCCGTGCTACTACAAAAAGTAAGGCCTGATATTGTTAGATGGTAGAGTTCGGGAGTAGGCAAGCAAACTTATTGTACCCCCTGGTCCTTAAGGCTCCTCAATATTGACTACTGCTGGTTAGCAAGCATTTCAACAACTCCCTTGGCCTCTCGTTTGTCTCTTTGCAGTGTCGCGTGAATGATTTTATCAGTTCATTAGACGCATGTAATCACAAACAATAAGGTCACCACCCTGCAAGCCATCAAAACGCTTAACTCAACACTATCCATATCATAGGTTTAATTGTGAGGATTTTTCTTCAGTGACAACTACTACACCCACGTCAAGATGTGTAGGTCAATGAATTTAGGTGGACCAAAACCAATCCCACTTTTGTTCCTCCGAGTTGGAGATACAATTTTCATACACCTCCAAATCAGGCCTCCAGATTCGTACTGTTCCGTCATCAGCACAACTCGCAACCATGTCCTTTGCCCAGTCGACTGCTCCAATTTCACCCGATTGTCCACGGAAACGGACTGTTGGGGAAATTGGTCCATCAGCCCTCTTGCCGTAAGATGGCGCTACCCTGCCTGCATTACTGATGTCAAAAAGGAACAAGCTTCCAGCTCGGCTCGTACTGCCGCTTGCGAGCCAGCGTCCACATGGAGAAGTAGCTAGGCGGACATAGAACGAGTTCGTTTGGAGGTTTGGGTGGGTTTCAGTGCGAAGTGGGGTCAGGGTAGGGTAAGAATAGATGTACAAGCGAGAATCGGCGCCGAGAGCAAAGAGGAGGCCTGCGCTGGGACCTGATCCTTGAGACATGCTTGTGATACCTCGAGAACGAGCACCATGACATATAGTCGGGTCCATGATAGAAGAAAATAGCGGGTTGTGTGATGGTTTTTTGGGGCTGCGCTTTGATGACTCGTTCGAGGGAAGACGAAGGTCCCAGTAGTTTAAGATGCTGCAGGGTTGATCAACTATGTACTTGTAAAAAAAAAGTAGAACCTTTACCCATCAAAAGATCCGCTACTGACTAGTCCGTGAGGTCGGTCATCGGGGTAAAGAATATTTGTGATACCTCTGGGTAAAGGTCGAATCTTTTGTCTGCCTCCAGAAACTTTATCCTGTCCATGAGCAGCGGTAATTGTGATTACAGCACTTCTTGCGGGGATTTCATCTTGATCGGATAAGTTGTTGACTCGCAGGTCATACAAGCAAAGCATGCCGTCCCTGCCACCCGTAGTCAAAAGGTCTCGATGCGCTGGATCCCACGCAACGCATTTTACAGTGCTGGTATGGCCATCAAGAATGGAAAGCAATTGTTGCGTCTCCACAGAGGATATCCTCGTGCTTTTGTCTCCAGATGCCGTAGCGAGAAGAGTGTCGTCCGCATTCCATTTGACGTCAAAAATACCATTGTCATGGGGCTCGAGGGTCACTCGTGCAGGTTCTTGATTCAGGTCAGTATCGGTCAGTGCCGAATTGACGTGATTGAGACCTACCACAATCCCATTCTTTCCGTTTGGTCGCATCGAGAATGTGGATGGACCCTTGCTCCGTGGCAACAGCAAGAAGGGGCACACCACCACGTTTTGCTTCTGTATAAAAATTTAATGGAAATAATATTTCAAAAAGGAAAGTCATGCCATTGGAGTATGCACAGGCGTAAGGGGGTGTAACGAAAGAGTCTTCTGTTCTTGAATGACATTTGAAAACATCCGATGTATGCGAGGACACAAATGACTGAAGAATGTTGCGAGATGGCACTGTAGGGATTTCTCAGATGGATATACAGAATAAAGTTATTTGACCTACAAAGCATCCGATGAGGTTCAGCAGGATAGCTAATGGAAGCTAGGTCCAACATTCGAAACACTGTACGACGACAACCTCGTCTTTTGACGACAACGTCAATTGCATCATTGCTAGATTCTGCAAGCATCAGTCTCGGCTTCTTCGTAGGTGTTTCGTCAGACTGTGGTATACGGCGCTTTGGTTTTTCATCGTCTAACGGTGTACCTGGTGTTGGAAGTTGTGATGTGTGGAAGTGTAGGCTTTCCCGAACATTGGTAGCATCGGAGAAAATTTCGCAGCGAGGAACCTCGGAACTATCAAGCATATCCGAAGAATTGTTTGAACGAGGTAAGTTAGGTAAACGGTGGTGGCAGAGCGACCGCGTTCTCTCGTACATAATCGCGTCGCGCTGCATCACGTGCTACGCGACTAACCACTTTTCTGATGAATAATCGAACATTAATTAGACTCAAGACTTTACTGCAGCGATGGTCACCATGAATATAGTGCTAACGTAGTACATGGCATTGCCTGTGCTGGACGGAAGTCGAAGCGCAGTCAACATTAATATTGTGTTTAATGAGCAAGTCCAAGTCCAGTTTGGTTGCCCATGTAATAGCCGAAGATTGAATAAGGTACACAGCTGTAAGGTAGTACCAGAGGTGGAGTAGCATCTGACATGGACAGGCACTAGTACTCTTGGTGTAGATGTACAAGACGTAGGCTTGGCCCGTCGCAGTACACATATTCACCTGACCACACGGCGCCCACTTGCACCCGGAACGTCGCAGGCGAAAGCCGGCCCGCATATATTGGGCCGCATGTAAGGAAGTTCGGCTCTTTCCCGAATTATCCTTGCATTCTACCGCGTCTCAAGCCTACGACCTACAACTAATACTATGGTATTCAGAGCGCCCATTCGTTTGATGGCCACTGCTGCCCGGCAGTCATTAAAAATTGGGATGCTCCCAGCTGACGGAATTGGCAGGGAAGTTTTACCTGTTAGTGTCGGTATCTTCTACTGGTATAGATTGATAGACACGTCGATCAGGGTGCGAAGGCTGCCATTCTGGCTCTTGGATCATCTATACCGAAGACGGAGTTTATTGACTTACTCGCTGGTTTCGAGTACTTCACGAGAACAGGAACTGCACTTCCTGACGAGACTGTTGAGATATTGAAAAATGAATGTGATTGTGCACTTTTCGGGGCTGTCAGGTATGCACTCTTCACCTTGTGGGAAATACATCCATGAAGCCTAATACACGAATAATACTAGTTCTCCGTCTCGAAAAGTGACTGGGTATTCTTCACCAATCGTCGCACTTCGCAAAAAGATGGATCTATTTGCCAATATCAGGCCAGTGAAATCAGTGTGTTCAATTTCTTGCTCAATGCTACTCGGCCTGTCCGTTGATATATTTTTCCGCCAGGTTTCAGTAAATCCTGAAGGGAAGCCAGGCGTAGACCTTGTTGTCATTCGTGAAAACACCGAGTGCCTGGTAGTACCATTTTCGTGCGACATTTCTATTTAACTTACAGGCACAACAGTACGTCAAGCAGGAAACACAGACTGTCGGGGAACACGGCAAGGAGGCCCGGGCTACTCGCCTTATCACAGAACGGGCTTCCCGCCGGATTGGCGAGTTGGCATTCAAAATGGCCTTGGAGCGCCCTCGTAAGGTACTTGAACACCTATTGCTCAAACATCTCCGGTGACACATCGGCTTAGCACTTGACCGTGATCCACAAATCGAACGTCCTTTCTATTACGGATGGTCTGTTCCGCGAGACGGTCCGTGCAGTACCAACATTACCTGGTGTGGATGGCAAGTATGATGATGTAACAGTTGCCGAACAACTTGTAGATAGTGCTGTGTACAGGTGCGTGAGGTGTTTGATTGTTAGCATGCAATAACGTATTCTGTGTTCCAAGATTGTTCCGTGAGCCCGAGTAAGTCTGTCTTGGAAAGCCAGATTGCGCCCTAAATGAGCTATTTCCTAGAATTTATGATGTGATGGTTGCACCCAACCTCTATGGTGACATCCTTTCGTATGTCGTTCGTTAGTTCCACTTTTATATTGTTTGACCCGCTTGGTGTAGGGATGCAGCTGCAGCGTTGGTGGGGTCGCTTGGTTTGGTACCTTCCGTCAATGCAGGAGATTCATTTGTAATGGGGGAGCCGTAAGCAATGACATCTGCTAGGGTTCAGCTCATTGATTGACTTTCACAGTGTTCACGGCTCTGCACCAGATATCGCTGGACAAAATATTGCAAACCCATTGGCAGCAATCCGTTCAGCGGCAATGATGCTGCGTCATATTGGATATGTTGATGGCGCGAATCGTATCGAAAAAGCGGTAGATTCTGTTCTCAGGGAAGGCAAGGTTCTGACACCTGATTTGGGTGGTAAGAGTAAAACGAGTGAGGTTGTGGACGAGGTGACAAGGCGGATCTAAGGGATGTAGTAAACCTTACGTTAAGGTTAGGTGTTAATGTAAAGGGATAATCATTTCCACGTGATAGGCCTGGTTTACGCGTGTCCTGTCTATCTCCCATTGTATCTGAGAAAGTTATCGATCTACGCCATTTGGAAATCTTCTATCACAATTGGCCCTGATCTTGTTCATTTAGTCGGTTCATTATCCTCGAGCCTTTCATTTCTTGTCCTTACGCGTGTCAGTGCGTCACTAAACACGAGTCTCACAATCTACGTATTTTGTGTGGGGTAAGATGCCCAAGAATAACAAGAAGGGCAAGCAGAAGGAGACTCCTGCTGCTCCTGCTGCACTTGCACCTCCTGCACCTCTACCTCCTCCCCCGCCACTTGCACTGCCTCCTCCCCGGATAATGACCATAGATACGATTGAGGAAGAGGAGGATGATTTTGGTGGACTCGGTGAGTCCTTTTTGCCCATCTCATATCCATGGCCACAGGATTCTGAAGGTTATCTTCCACAAAGGTGACATGGACGCTGGAGAGCTTAATGAGGATTCTTGGGAGCAAATGCATGACACGGGCGATGCCCCACAGGATCTGAATGGCTGGGCGTCCAATGATCCTCAAAATAGCAATGATGACTGGGCCACTGATGAGCAATGGGAGACGGGCGCTCCTCAGGCACAGATGCCACCACGACAATTGCACAAGGACGATGGCAACACTAAGTCTCAAAAAAAACAGCAGCATCAGTACCAGCAGCAGCAGCACCATCAGCATCATCAACAACACCAACAGCATCCCCAACAACAACAGCACCAGCAATCGCAACATAATGATGGGTGGGGAAGCGGCGGCGGAGCTTGGGAAGATGCTGGAGGAACGCCAGCACCAGCGAAAAAGCAGATCTCGAAAGGTAACTGGAGTCAAACCACTCAACGCGCTATGGATGAGCCTGCCTGGAGTAATTGGGGCCACGAAGCTGGCTGGGAACAAGACGGAGATACCTCGGAAATCGAGGAAGAAGAATGGTCCGCTGAGGACGACTCATGGGGAGCGCCGGCGGCAGCCTGGCCTCAACAGCAGTCTACCCATGCACCACAGGCGTACCCTCAGAAGCAGTCTACTCATGCACCACAGGTGCATGCTCAGCGTCTACCGAACCAGCAGAGCGGTTGGCAGACATGGGGGGAAGAGGCACGAAGGTTACCCAAGGTGACTTTTTATTCCACTATTTATCCTCTCCCAGCTCCACTTGGAGCATCACAGTCCTATCTTAGTTAATATGATATCGTTACTTAACGAGTTACAACAGAGTCAACAGCCATATGCCGCTGCCAATCCGCCCCCAGGTACTGGTGGCTATTTCCAGCCGCAAGGCACAAACAAACAAGTATCTCAGCAGCAATCTGCTAATACACAGTGGTCTCAACAGCAAGCTGTCATGTCAGCGGCATTCCGCCAGCAACAAGAGCAAGCTTACGCTCTAGCTCAGGCGCAGAGTCAGCACAAGCAGTTGCAGCAGCAGCAACATCGCCATGTTCAGCAGCAACACTCTGAAACTTACGCTTTAGCTCATGCGCAGAACCAGCACAGGCAGCAACACCACCACCAGAATCAGCCGCAACACCACCAGAACCCCAGCCAGTTGCCACACCACCAGAACCCCAGCCAATTGCAACAACACCAGAACCCCAACCAATTGCAACACCACCAGGACCAGAACCAGAATCAGCCACAGCACCATCATGACCCGAGCCAACCGCAGCACTATCATCAACCGCAACACCATCATGACCCGAACCAACAGCAGCACTATCATAATCCGAATCAACCGCAACACCACCATGACCCGAACCAACAGCAGCACTATCATAATCCGAATCAACCGCAACACCATCATGACCAAAATCAACCGCAACACCATCAGGACTCGAACCAGCCACAACATGAAGGGAAGAAGCATAAGAAAGACAAAGAGAGTAAGCAGAACAAGAAGGAGAAGAAACGTCAGCAAAAGGAGCAGGAACAACAGGAACAACAGCAGCATGACAACGACGTCTGGGGTTTGGGCGAGGGCTGGCAAGATGAAGACGATCCCGATGATTACGAGGATACGCACGATGCATGGGGTCGACGAGTACATTTCTCGCCTCCTCACACCGCTCCTTCCGTTGCTCCATCTACAGTAGTAGAAAACTTTATCGTCAACGCATTTCCCCCAAATAAGCTTGGGTTGTCGACATTCGGCGGCACGCCATCGAAAACACTTACTTACGCATACCATGGAACAGCAGCACCCATGGAAAATCGCCCAGCCCGCAACACCACACATGATTTTGCAGACTTTATCGAGTCTAAGGGAGCTGCAATAAGTCCTGTGGCAGGCGCCTTTTTCGGTGGAAATTCGCGCATGGCGAAGGACCGTTTCCACTGGATGTTCCCGCCTGACAAAGACGAGCGCGTCGCTTCTAAGCTGGAATGGATCCAGTCAGTATCCCCCGGACTGGGCTCGTTTGGAGTAAGTCGAATGTCCATATATGATTATTCGCCATCTTGAAACCGTCATTAAAGCTGCAGAAATTTTTGCAAACACGCGAGCGTGGCGCTCTCATAGTGAACGCCGATTATCGGCCTTCAAAGTCACCGAATGAACCAGCTTTTGACTGGTTAACATACCCGGAGCTACAGAAGACCATGGATCGTACTCTGCAAGAGTCAGTGGCCTTTTACGACCCCTCCGCGCTGGTGGTCGTTTTCGTATTTCTCCCATCCAAGTCGGGCAATAGCCTGGCTATATGGCGCCGCAAGATCGCGGTGCCGAGTAGTGTACGCCTAGCGTATCAGGCGCAAATAACCCAAGCTATAGATTCTCTACACAGAGACTATTCTGTATATGTAGATGAGTATGTCGCTCTGCTGGCAGTGTTGGTCTTCGTTCAATTGACTTCCGTGATAGGATACCTCCCCCTAAATCCGAAGCTCCCAGCCCTCCGAAGAAACGCAAGTGGTGGAAGTTGTGGCTATCTACGTGAGGGTTTGTTTTTGTACATATGTATACCTTTCTTGCGTGGAACTTGTATTAGCCTTGGCCCGTTGGGCATCTTACACGCCATGTCTTTCTAGTGTGATACCAGTTGTATCAACTGTATGATGGGCTTGCTTTCGTCGTCACCATTGTATCATGTTCACATATTCTACGTCGAGCTTTTGGAAATGCTTTGCCGTTGTTGTAATAAAAATCAAGACATGGGTTCACTCGGCTCGCACAACACACATATGATACAGTACTGCAATGCTCAGATATCGATACATCATGAAATGTATCATACAGCTACCCAGACCTCCTAGTCTATCACAATCAATTCTGGAACCATCCCATGATTCTCCCACTGAAGTAGGGGTATGTGATTGACAATTATACGTGGCTACCTCAGCTCCTCCGACTGCGCTATGTGGAATTTGAGTGCAAGTCGGCGAAGCCTTTCCACACCATGGCCATCAATGACACTTGACGTAATGCCGTGATGTAACTCTACTTCGTACATAAATGCGGCGACATCAGCCAGTGAAGTGCCCAGCTGGGGAAGAAGTGCCAGGCGTTCGCTGTAAGAAAACGACGTCAGCAAAGATGGGTTTATCACAGAATGACTGCAATTCCAGTTTCCGCTTGCCTGGTCAGCTTTCTCTCTTCAAGAAGCTGCTTCAAAGCGTTCTGTGTCGTCATCTCTGACGCATCGCGTTCCATACGAAGTTGTTCGAGGCTGCGGCGCAGCTGAATGAGTTCCATTCTTGCAGCCTCAAACGAGGCTGAGGTGCGATGTGATTCCAACTTCCGTGTGGCATTCTCAGTCGCAGAAGTCTTTAATTCCGCCTGCAAAGCAGTGGTTGCGGCTGAGAGTTCGTCCAACCTTCTGGATAGAGCGGAGATACGCCTCATAGATAGCAAATATGGCACTGCAGCAAGTGGTGTGAAAAACACTGCTAACACTGTAAAATGGGTGATGGCTGGATGTCTTTGAAAAAAGTTGACCCGTGCATCCAGCACAGCGTTTGTGGGTGCAGCAGACGTGTTAGTATCAGTGTTTTCTGGCGGTCTGGCCTCCATATCATGAAGAGAAACCGGGCAGAACGCTTGAAGTAGAAGTACCGACAGTGACAGTCGCAGCTTGAAGACCTGACGGCCTGAGATCTTCTACCGCCGGCAATTGAACCGAAGGCGGCCCGGCTTAGGTAATAGATGTACCGGTGACTAGTAGGCTTAGCGTTTAGCGCCTAGGCCTCGTTGAATTCTGCAGGCGACCGCGCGGTCATAAGACTCTGCTATCTAGCGTTGCGAACATCTGCAGGCAATGCGACATTTTCCTGGCTGATAACTTTCATATATTTGTTAGTCTTTATCTTACTGGATGTTCCCCGAGGTGCCTGGACCAATAGCCACGCCAGCGGCTGCTTCATGTGTTTCTCCAGATATGGCGTCCGGCACGCCTCCACTCGATCAACAGGCATTCGCTGGCTCTGATTCGGAGCTCTCTCAAGCTCAAGTCTCGCAAAATGAGGAGGAACAAGCGTTAGAGATTCATGAGGTCATTGAGCTTCAGGCATTCAGCGAGCGGAAAGCCTGGATAGAAGATAAAATCAAAGTGCGAATGTGTCATTCTTATCCTTGTCTTCAAGTTAATTGTTCTTTGTCCCATAGTTCTTGGAGGCACTTCCTCCTATCGAGGTTTTTGTCGGGCTGGACGCCATACGAACCTCCGCAGAAGACATCCCCGGTTTACCCACGCGCGAACAGCTTCAGGAATGGCTTGCAGAACACGACAGGATTGAGAAAGAGACAGAAATTTTTGACTCTGGGGAGCTCAAGAAACTTAGGGCACTCACTAAAGGTATAGGCCTCCTGTTCTTCTTTTAAATAAGTGCTGACGATGGTACCAGCGGCTACACAGAGGCATCTTTCACCAGAAGACACTGACGTTATCGAGCTCACTCTTACGACCATTTATGAACTCGACAAGCTCCTCCACCTCCTGCGGGACCGCTCCGAAAACCTTGATCTTCTGGGTATTAGGCTGACGTGGGAAGAGCAACGTCGCGCAGCCTGGAGTGACCGCCAGAAGATACTTGCAGACATTGAGAATTTCCTCACTACTCGTGCTAGATGGTCGCCTTCCATTTATGAATTCATGGTTAAATCTGAAGAAAAGCCCTCAAATCGTCGTGGCTCTGTTGCTTCCATGGCTTCAGATACGTCTGTTACGTCCAATACTGGATTCTCTCGCAGCGCCCGTTTCAAGCTTGCAGAAATCCTTTCACGGGATTCAGCACAGGTTGCTGGCAGGGTGTCGTCTCTTAGGCACGGAAAGGTCGCTGCGGCTGGCAAAGCTCTAGACAAGTTGATAGACAACAGTCGCAGGGCTGTTCCGGAGGAGCTACTTGACGAGCAGGACAAACTCGAAGGACAAAGGCATCAACGAGATGGAACATGTCGGCAAATTCGTCATGAATATTGTTACGCAATGGCGGAAGTGAGACTTCTGGTTTTCTAGATGGTCATTTCGCTAATTGCTAGTCAGAGCTGATGAAATCTACGTCGAAACAATGAAAGATGAGAACGCTGCCCAAAACCTTTTGGAAGAAATCGAAACTTCGAAGCTTTATCACCCGACTTTCCGCCAGAGTACCAGCTTCCTTTCCCGTGCAGAGACCTTGGTGAAAAGGCTTGCTGTGAGGGGTAATCCTATCGCAAGTGGTGGCACCTTCCCGCGACCACAACATGCTCTCTTTCCTGACCAACAATCAGCCAACTGAGGCGATCAGTCAAATCTTGTCCTCAGAACTTGCTTCCACTTCAAATCTCGTTGCCAAGGTTGATTCTCTTGCTAAGGAGTACAGAGTTGGTTATGAAGCTGTCAAGGATGTCGAGTCCTTGTCCCGGTCTGCTGATAAATTAATGGAAATATTCAACTCCGCTATTGATCGCCTTGAAAATGGAGTCACTGCCTGTGATGGTGACGGCACCCCTCCTAGTCTCATATCGGAGGATTGTTTGCATCCTACGGCTCATTCCGTATTCATTACTTTCCTACCATCAATCACTCAAGAGGTGGAGCAATCATGCACTCGAGCAGACCATCTACTGCGAGCCTTTCGGGTGGCACTTCTCAATGCAGAGCGACCCGGTATTGACCAAACATTCAAGGACAATGCCACCGCTCAGATTGAGGCTTTAGTTGCTGTTCGCGACAAAGCTGCTGCCATTTGCGCTGACGTGAACACAAGACTCGGCAGACTCCGTGTAGCTAGGAGAGTTTGGTCGATCATGGATGGTGTTCTGAATGAACTGGAGGACACACGGAGCGAGGTCGCCGACCTAATGGAGAGAGAAAGATGGAAACAGACCAATCAAAGTGCAGAACCTCTGACTCCGGAGACGCCACCTCAAGATGTTCTTCCTACACCCTCAGTGTCGTCTAGCGACATAGTGGGTCGTTTAGAGGTCGTTTACCAGACCCTCACAAATGACGTGATGCATCCTCTGGCTACCTTAAGTGGAATGCTTGAGAAGCCCCTAGACGAATTCCTCTCTCGTACCTCTGAAGGGTTATTTGGTCACTTGGACAATGTGAAGCAGATGTTCGTTCTCCTGGACGCTATTCGGTCCCAATATGCAGCTATGATCTCTTTTCAGGACAGCGTTCACGAGCTCCAGGTTCGGGTTGAGGACCTCAAGATTCATTATGATGCCACTATCCAGGAAATTCTTAATGACCAACTTTGTGGGGAAAGCTTGGGTAACGCGCAGGATCAACTAAAGGACGAGTCAAATGTGCTCCGTAGTACTGCCGACGCCTTCACGAATACCGTAGCTCAGCGGATACCGTTTCTCTCTCAGCATGTATCCGATCAAAGGAACGCACCTATTCTCGTTCGGAAAAGGTTTTCGTCGGCAGGGAACATAAAACTCATCTCATTCGATGTACCAGCCGCCATCGAACCACCCTTCACGTTACGCAGCCTTGACGACGCCGTTCGGGGAGACTCCAATTTGCTAGTTATGCGTCTCTTAGGGGATGTACAAAGCCTCGAGCAGAAGACTGGACATCTTCGGCTGGCATGCATGGCCAAAGATGCTGATTCGGAATTGGCCTTGGTGGCTGATGACCTGCGTGGTGTCACTGAAGAGCTTGGCTCGCTGAGAACACTTCTGGACTCTATCTCTCGAGCAGACGAGAAGCTTACTCCGCTGCAAGATCTATCAGAGGAGCTTGACAGACATTCATCGCAACATCGTTCTCGCTTATCGCGCCGCCTCTCCTTGATCCGTGAATCCTTGCGCCAAATGGAATCTGTGCCTTGTTCGCACGATCATCGTATCTACGAGACTCTCATCATGTCACGAAGAAGGGAGGTAGATAACCTTGAGGTCAAATTGAGTACCTGGGCCGATAATGCAGCTATGCTTCGGGGCAAGCTGTCGGTTTCGCTCACCGCGGAGGCAAAACGTATCGAGGCTGCTAAACTCAGAGAGGAACAAGAAGCGGAAGAGAGAAGGCGGCGGGTTGAACTCGAACGCAGGGAGGCAGAGGCAAAAGCCAAAGAAGAGCAAGAACGCAGAGACGCGGAGGTGAAGGCCAAAGAGGAGCAAGAATGCAGAGAGGCAGAGGCGAAAGCCAAAGAGGAGCATGAACGCAAAGAGGCGGAGGCAAAGGCTAAAGAGGAGCAAGAACGCAGAGAGGCAGAGGCCAAGGCCAAAGAGGAACAAGAACGCAGAGAGGCAGAGGCGAAAGTCAAACAAGAACAAGAACGCAAAGAGGCGGAGGCGAGAGTAAGAGAAGAGGAAGAGCGCAGAGAGGCAGAGGCGAAAGTCAAACAAGAACAAGAACGCAAAGAGGCGGAGGCGAGAGCAAGAGAAGAGGAAGAGCGCAAAAAGGCAGAAAGGCTAAGGATTGAGAAGGAGCTGCGTGATGAACAACAGGCGCGGGAAGAGCGTTTGAAGGCCGAGCAGCAGCAAGCCGAGATGGAGCGTCAGGCGCGAGAACGCGAACGTCTTGAAGCTGAGGCTCAAATAAAGGCGGGCATTCAGCTACAGGAAACCGAATACCAGAAAAGAGATGAATCGCAACTATTTGAAGGTGAGGGGACCAGTCTTTGATGTTCACTGATAAGTTCTAATTTTTTGCGTTAGATGTATTTGGGTTGCGTATTGCTCCTTCTCCGTCACCGACGAAAACCCATCAGAGGGGCGATCTGTTGGACAAGGTTGTCTCGCTGAGGAAACGACTTCGTTCTATCGGCATCAATGAGGTTGCACATCCGGCAGCTAATTCGAATTCTTCCAATCATCTACCAACTCTGGAGCAATACGGGAAGATGAATGCTCTCTTTGCGTCCATAGTTTCTGAATTATCCAAGCTTGCTGCATTACCTTCTTCGATGTCATCCCCTGCCGCAGATATGGAGTTGCGATCGGCAAATTCGGAAGTCGAAGCATCCACCGAGTTGATGCAACGGATTCGACAATTAGCCGACCTATCTGACGTCGCTCATCGTTGCGATATGGCTCTCAGTGATCTGCTTGAGCACATCGACAGCTACCCTTCTCCTCCTGCTGGACCACTTTCTAGCACGCATGTCTCGACCTCACGTTTGCCCCCAGAAGAACAACTTGCAGCTCGCCTTGCTTTCACGAAGCGCATTGTTACTCAAGTAGCGGCATACATAGAATCAGTCAAGGACGATGCTCGCGCCAGTTCTGAATATCGACGTGTTCAGCAGACATGGGTCGAGTTGGAAGAAATGGCTCACGATAGGATCTGCGGCAAGAAATCCCGTCCTGCTAGTGTCCTCAGCTCTGGTAGGAATAGCAGTGCATCTGGTATCAGCTCTGGGGCGACTGGTCACACCAGAAAGGCCAGTGGTTATTCCAATCTCTCAGTAAGAGGATCTGCCAATGGGCGTTTCCTAGCTCCAGCGCACCCAAGCCCCCGCCGAGTAGCGTCTGGCGATTTGCAAACTCGACCCCGGCCGTCCAGCAAACTTTCTATGCTATCTACCGCTAGCATGTCAAGATCAGTGTCACTAGCAGGGCCAATAGCAACGCCTTCCTCATCATCTTCTTTGCACGGTTCAACTTTTGCATCTCGTCAGCGTACTGCTAGTCTATCTGGTAATGCAACTCCCAACACACCGACGAAGCAACCTCCAGTTCCTACCCGTCCCCGGGCGCAGACACGTTCGAGGGCCTCCCCCACACCTTCGGAAGCTTCTGTCGTCGCACGGTCCACCGCAAGTCACTCAAGGTCATCTTCATCCATGTCCACGTGGGCCCGCGCACCGCGACAGTCATTTCCCACGTCAAACAAGGTCCAGACACCCCCGAAGAAAACGCAGCCACAAACGCGGAAAACCTACGTTGCTAATCCCAAGAACAAGCTGGACGTCGCGGTTGGAGACGTCGTCAACAAATTGCCAGTCAACATCAATATCGAGGTAGTCGCCGACACTTGGAAGGATCAAAGCGGGAAGTACTGGATTGGTGATCAAGAGCCAAAGCTATGCTTTTGTCGCATATTGCGCTCGCAAACTGTTATGGTGCGTGTTGGTGGTGGTTGGCAAGAATTATCAAAGTAAGCAAGCAGAGAGTCTTGACCTGGAGATTTCACTAACATATTATACAGGTTTATCAAAGATCACTTCGCAGATGTGTTTCGTATCATACCTCCAGAGTCTCCTCCCAAATTTGGCTCTCCCCGCTTTGGATCTCGGGAAGAAAAGTGGATTAGCTCCGCGACTTTGCTCGAAGCGCCTGAAATTGTGACCACTCCTCCCCCTTGCACCCCCGAACCTAGAGGACCTTTCCTTCCTTCCTTCACCATCTCGACTCCAGGAGCGCATAGTCCACATTCAGTGAAGTCTACACCATCATCGGGGTCTCCCTTGGCTCCGCTTCAGTTTCTGAGGCGAGCGGATCCTGATGCAATGCGCCCAGTAACACCATCGAAACCACATCGACCTCGAAAAAGCATTCCTAACACCCCAGCTCGGCATAATCTATGGAGACCATGATAACCTACAATTTCTTCTACTCGCACATTATAGGACTGACTCTATTGCCGATACCTATTAATTAGATATTTGCGTTTCATGTATCAAACACAATTGCTGATACCACTAAGTTGCACCACTTTTTTTGTTATGTATTCGTTTTGTTGTTTAGGCTTTGTTAACATCGCCGAGCATGATTGCCACCGGACTCGGATACTGTGAACTACAGTAGTTTCCTTTTATGAACAATTTTAAATCCAAAGCACTGGCACCCTTTCACCTTGTCCACCGTGACTCTACAGAACTCCCTGGCCTGAAGCTTGTTAATAAGGCAAAAGATATTCTACTTCTACTCGTACTGCGAGGATGGATGCAGAGCTACGATGTAACCGATTGACATGTCGCAAGACTCTCATTGACAAGGCAGTGGTGGTAAGCCCATCACTTTCCTGTTCGGATTTTGCTCTGTCCACAACGATTCTTTCAGACAACATGTAAGTAGTCAGGCGTTATTTATGGTTTATGAATAATTATTTTGCCCTAGGCTCGCATATATTCTGCGGTAAGATTTGATGAAGGCGGAACGACCGAACGCAAAGGGGTCACTGACTGGAAATGACTTTTGTGGTTCCACTAGTTGACTGTGCGAACGAATTGTTCAATGCCTCGCGGTTATGTCCTGGTAATTTTTTTGGTTTGTTTGCATACTGTATTCTGATTGACGTCCTAGCTTGTGAAACATCACTGACCGAGCCGTAAGTCACTTGTCGATGCTGTAATTCGAGGCGAATTCATCAGCTGTAATGTCACGAAGAGACGATGTGGTTGTAAGCCACTTGACACACTACGTCCTGCTTCAGATTTCTGAATGTTTTCAGGTGTGCTCATTACATCCAACTAATGACTACAAAACGGTGAATATATGCGCGAAATTCTTCATCAAACCCAAGCTTAGTGTCGGTAGTCTGTTCTTTCGGGCCTCAGCCCGTCCTTAATCATGGAAATTTGCAACCGGTGAGCGTCTTGTTTCTCACAAGCCCTCTCAGTTCCTCGATCGTCTAACGTATTTGGTGGAGGGCTCTATCATTCTGGCAGTATCAGGTACACCAAGAGAAGTACGTGCTATACTACTCGTGGAGTAGGGGTATTGTATCAGTATATTAGTTCATTCCAGCAAGCGGTCATCCGCAACCTCAATGATAAGCAAGCACAATTGCAGAAGCAGCTAGACAATGTCATTAGAGAAGGTGATGCTCCTCCTGCGTTAGACTATCTTCACTCACAGCTTCCAGCTAATGGGGAAATCAATCTTCTGAGCAACAAGGTCGCAGGTATAGTGAACCGCCCCACTCACAGAATAGCAAGGCTTCAATTGTCTCAGAGTTGGAACGCGACATGGAACTGGAACGGCGAAAGGTTCATGAACTACAAGATTCTTCCAGAGAACGCGAGAAGGAGTATCAAAAACTCAAGGTCGCTTCGACGACTGCCTGGAGGTTTGATATACTGACAGTTGTGCTAGGCTCAATACGACAAAGCCAAGCGGAAGTCGTTACTTGCTCCGAGCGCAGCCCCGCATGGGCAGGGTGTCGGCGGTGGGAATATGTTTGATCGACCTCCTCAAGATGACTATAATAAAGGTACAGCTGGTGTGGATATTGGTCCAGTGATCAGTAGAATGGACGCGAATGGGGTACAGGATCCCTACTTGCGAAACTGAATTTATCTAATAAAATCTCAGATACAAAGAACTCCGTTGGTTAATCGCACCATGGCTGGCCCTTTCGGACCTCATCAAAGTGCCGCTTGGCCACAGCCTGCTCGCCCTCAGCAGCGCACCAACGTGCAGCGACGACCTTTTGCTGTCAGCAACAACGATCATTCATATAGAACAAACAGCATCTCGGAACGTTCTGATAGTGCCAACGAAGTTGAAAACATGCTCCTCCCACACTTCAATCGTTCAAAAGTTCCTCCGCCATCCGGTGGTTCGGGTGGGTCCGGTTGGGGCGGGCCAAGTCCAAGCGCTAGACCTAGTCTTACCCAGCAGCATCGTGAGCTAACCACTGTCAGATTTATAACTGTCTTAACACGCCGATCTCGCAGAGTTCAGTAGCAATCAGGCCGTCAAACATGGATTCAGACCTGCAAGGTAAATTTCAACACAGTAACAGTCTATTCCGATTGCGGCAGTAGTGTAGTCCCAGAAACAAATAATACATGTATCATATAGACGAGTCGGAGCACGAAGGTATAAAATGTGCGAGCGAAAGCAAACAAAGCATAAATGAGCACTGTCAGATCATACATAACGAGGATGGACTAGTCATGACGTAGGGTTCCATTTTTCTCGTCTTCGAGATATTGCCCAATAGCAAGGATATCCTGGCCTGCCCTACGGAGGTACCCTCCAAGGACAGTTTTATCGGCTTTCGGGAGCAGAGCAGCAAGCTTATCCACCTGACGTGTGAATTCGTCCGAGTCAGTTGGTGATCCACGGTCGGAATATGTATTGTGGCCAGTGAGTTGCGACGGTCGGTGTATAACTACTGTGCTTGATCGGTGGTGACCCAAGCCATTTGGCACGGACTGAGGGGATAGGACTATGGTTTGGGACCTTTGCATCCGATTAGGGGGTGCGCGTGGACCCCCTGGCACAGATGGGGAGTTCGGAATAGTCATCGGTCGCGGATTCGGCTCCTGTCGCGGTGGACTTCTAGACAGCGCCCTCCCGATTACTGGAGCTATCAATGATACGCCTTTATCCTTCTTCAGACTTGTTTTCCGTCCCAAAGACGCAAGGAAGCTTGCCGGAGACTTGTTCGATGAAGTAGGGGAAGTCAGTGAGCGACCAGAGGATGAAGATGAGCTAGCAATGATAGTGGATGCCCTATTTGGCCCATTGCGTGGCGCTGAAGCAAGTGCTGGGTATGGAAGCGAAGGAGGTGCATTGGGGGGACTGGAGTCACCGGAGGGAGGTGCCGACAGATCTGTAGCCAGGTATGCGTCTGGGCGTCTAGGAAAAGTAACCTCGGAGCCAGTCGAGGACTCCGAGATATTACGAGTTTGGGTGCGGGGAGAATGTGTCGATGGAACACGAGCATTCGTGTTCGCAGGAGTGCGCTTTAGGGGATTTGCAGCTAATCATGCTGTAAGCGCATATATGTATGGAGGGCCAATGCAATTCCCACCTTTATATCTTGTCTCTACGATCCAATCACCTAGTCCAGAATCGTACAAATAGAGTTCATTAATCTTTTGCGCATATCCTACCGACCGATCGAGTGTGTTTTTCTTCACAACCACATCTGCGAAATGCATACATGGCGGCCACGCTGACTTGACCTTCTGAACTGGAGGTAGTGCTTTTGGCACTGAATGACCCACGAACGATGGCGACGGCGTCCTCGAAGACCTTTTGATTTCCGTAGAAGGCTGGGTGAGCGATACCGGCGAGGGCGTGCGCGGAAGAGACGAAAACCGCTTGATACTGAGCGCACTTCTAACTCGTAAGTCTGAAGGTTGAGGCTCGTTCTTCGCCGGCAGGGGCGGAAGCACTTCAGGTTTACTATCACTTTCAACGCTATCATTGTCATCTAGTGGTGACGTGGGTGTTAAGGAGATGCGCCGAATGTCGAGACCAGATCGGTTGCCCCGATTCTCGTTATGCCGTAAGGGCTCAAGAACGGTCGGGGGAGGAACATCAGATGAACGGATTATACCCATGTCATCAATTGCGTGTCCGATGGTAGCAACAAGGTCATCTATAGACTCATGGCGGGGGAGAGGAACAATCGTTCGGCCTGGGGACACAGTAAGGTTTGATTTTGTGTCTGAGGTGCAAATGCGTGAGGGAGGGAAGGCGCCTTCGCGAATATGAGCTGGCGTCTGGGGAAGTTCGAATTCATTCTCCTTGTCTGAGGTATTGGGCCTGTGGGAGGGTCATTTGATACGGGCAGGAACACAAAAGAAAATGGCGCACTGAGACTTTGACTCCTCTGATCGGGATTCGGAGGTCACTGGTTGTAAGGGACCCAGCCCCAAAGGGCTAGTACTTGAAGTCGGAACAAGCTCCTTCACTGTTTCCAAAGGTGGGGAATTGGCACTAGTAGTCATTCCACGTTCTGCCTTGGGCTCCGCGAGAAGTATTCGCGTTTTGAGTGCAGCTGCGACAGAGGGTGGCAGAGCCAATGCTTGCTTCACAGCATCCATATCATTTTTCTTCTTCAATGGCTGATGTCGGGGTGGTCTAGGTGGAGGCGGCGCACTAGGATCAATACTGAAGACAGACATGGGGGGAGGAGGTAGCGGTCCTGCTCTTGCATGCAGACCAGGCTGATAGTGCAAGTAGGGAGTAGCAGGTGTGGTTGTAGATGTATTGGATAGGCTCTTAATGTGCTTCCCAATCATAGGTGTAGGCGATTTGGGCAAGATATTGACGATGACAGGACCGGCCACACGATCGCCAATGCTCTTGCTCTCTCCTATGCGTGGCGTCACCTCAGGAGCGGGCATAGGGCTTGCTGGGGTAGACACAGTTTCTTTCAGCTCCTTAATTGGGCTTACACTAGGGAAGAGCGCGTCTTTCCTCTGTCTACTCTTGGGGGGCGCAGTGGAGCTCCCTGAATCAGACGTCTCAGGTGTCCCAGGAGAAGGTGAACGGGATTGGGGCGTTTGGAATAGGGGTGATTTGAGTGCTTCTGTGACAGAGGATGAGTAGCCCTGGTCTGATGATTTGCTTGAAAGAGAGATTGTGCCTACGACAGCCACCTCGCGCGATGACTTCCGAGAGTGCCTCGTAACTTGTCCAGATACTTTGACCGTCTCTGATGATGAGCGTCCGTGAGAGGGTGCAGTGTTCGAAGAGGGTTGTGATTGGATGGCAGGTGAAGTGAGTGGATGGGCAAAGCTGAAAATTTGTGGCGACGCGTCCGGTGGTGCAACAAATGCGAGACCACCTAGCTGTGTCTCACGACCTCGTTGGGGATATAAGTCGCTTGAAGAAGTGTTCGCGTAGGAATCACTCTTCGGGTACTCGCCAACATGTGTGCTCATCTCAACGATAGCAATGCGTCGCCTGTCTGCGCTACCTTCGGACGGTATGCTTGGGCGGCGCGCTAGCCCTCCTTTCAAACCAAGTGGGGAAACAGGCCGTGTCTGAGGAGGTTTATACGCGCTTGGAGCAGTCGCACGCGCCTTTGAGGACTCAGAAGAGTAAGCGGAGGAAGAAGATTGGGTAGCAATAGAGGTCGACGAGATCGAAC